ATAATAATAATAATAATAATAATAATAATAATTATTATTATTATTATTATTATTATTATTATTATCATCATTATTAAAAAGCTAGGCAGACTAGCTCATAATAGTTAACTCCTCTGTGCCCCGTGCATAACAAGAAACTTCATAAGAGACGCCTAAGGACTACCTAACAGAATGGTGATTGCAAAGAAAAAGAAGCAGGGAAAAAAAAGGGGAAAAGAAAAGAAAACTTCCAAGTTATTAGGATATTACTGAAGAAAAAAAGAGGACAACAAGCCAACTACATGAATGAAGATAATTTTTTTTTCTTCTTTTTGTTTTTCTTTTTGGGGGGGCTAAAAAAACTGCGTTGAAAAACACCACCACAAAGAAAAATGTGCAAAGACCGCAACAAATGAAAAGGAAAAGGGAAAAGAAGAAAAACAAACACAGAAGAAAATGAAACAGAACGGACCTCCTAGGACTGGAAGGTGATTAAAAGCCATGAACAAGAGTACGGGACCATAATAAAGTTAATAGTCCACCTTCCCCAGCTTTTTAAACTCTTTCACATCATGAATTTGCAAAGCTGCAAATCCATTGGTGAACAAGAAAGTACATCTCTATTTACCACTGATATATTACAGCAACTCTAACGACACTAACCGAGAAAGAAAACAAATTTAAGCAAAACATCGGTCCAACCAAAACAATCACCATGCCCCCTACTGAGAACAGCACCCAAAAAAAAAAAAAAACAAAGGAAATTCAAATTTTGAAAGACACATATTACAATATAGTCCCAATAACACACTAACCAAACTTAATGAACTTTCATTTTCTCTAAAACAACAACATAAACAAAAAATCAAAAAAGCAGTTTCCCTCCTTTTCACTTAATCATTATTATGCTCAACTTCATATAGAAATTGGTTCCATACCCACACGTTAAGAAATATAAATAAATTGGCAGGCATGTCAATCAAAAGGAAAGATATTCTGATTCTTCAAAATCCTCTAAACAACTCTTCTAACTATTTCTCAGCTTCTAGAACTTCAAATTTAAATCAAACAACCAAAAATAAATAAAACTAACAAGTCCCGCATTAATAAACAAACTTGATACCAAAATCAAATTTTTATTTTTATTTTTTTTTCGTTCTTTGACCCACGAAGCGAAACGGAAGAAACAATCAAGAAACCCAATAATAACAACCACTAACCGGAAACAAACAAACAAAAAATAAAAAACGCAACCTCGTCACAGATTCAAAGCTCTAACAGTAAGAATCGAAACCAAAAAAAAAAACCCCGAATTTCACGAAACCCTACCTTCAGTCGCAAGTGAGCCAGTGACAACCCAGAAAAGCGTCCCAACAACGGATTAAACGCATAAAGGCGAGACCTTTTTGTTCGCGAAGCTTCGAAACCTCGGATCGTGGCCGCGGACGACGGACGGTGGCCGGAAAATCGCCGCGGAGGGGGGGGGAAGAGGGAGGGAAAAGGGAAGGGAAGGAAAACGAGAATTTGAAAAGAGGGATAAGGGAGGGAAAATGGCGGGTAAAGAGAATGGAGAAAATCGGAAAGAAAGAAAGAAAGGGCAGAGAAGGGAAGAGAGTTTGGAAGGAGATTGGGAATTACAGGGGCAGAAGAGGCAAGAGATGCGAGGGTTGAGAAGGGAAATCAGGTTTGTGGGCGCTGAGGGGAAAAGGGGTATTTAGGTCAAAGATTTGCGGACTTGCTTTTCGGAATTACTGTTTTGCCCAATTGCTTTCGTCTTTTCTCATTTTCTTATTACCATTATAATATAATATAATTATTGGCTTGTAAGGGGGAAAAGACAATTACCATTGATTAATCTTTGGCAATTTTAGATTGTTTCATAAAATGATTTCTGATTGATTAAAATAAATTAATGAATAATAATTATCACCATTATCTGTAATTTTTAGTATTAAGAAAAAACAAACTTTAAATTTGAAATTTGAACCTGAAGGATTCGTATTTTACTCCGATAAAAAATGACTTTTTCCATCCATTTATTTTTAATGGAATTTTCATCCAAATTTGAATAAATCATATTGAAGAAGTTAGATCATCACATTGCTCTCTCCCTATTCTTCAAATGGTTTTTGGAGTTTTACTTTATCATTATTTAAAGTTTTAAATTCTACGTTTTGTGGTTGCAGACATAATTTAACGATAAATTTACATATGACTCCATTAAAAGAAAAAAAAATCTATTCCCTACATACACTAGAGTCAAGTGTAAAATTATATATGCAACTCCATCTTAACACGTTTTTGAATATTAAAATTGTCAAAGAAAAATGCTCCGATTATAAAACAGTTTGATAAACAAATCAATGATGCAATAACATATCTTAAAGAGCAATATCTGTTCATTCTCATTGGGGATATACTTGTGTATATGTAAAAAGTAGCTATCTATAATCTACAACAAAGTAAAATAATTGAATTTCTTTATGTTATATGGTAGTTTAAAAATACTTAATGTGATAATTACGTACCCCAATGATGATAAAATAATAAGACTCTCCAATTTAAAAGGTCAATAAATAAAGGCGGGGGTAATTCAATGAAAAACGACAACACATAAAAACGACAAGAATGTACAGGCGCCAATTTCCCTGAAAACAATATAATGCCGGAAACGACATTATACATACTTGACAATGTGTTGAAAAACAGTCTCATCGGCTAAACGAGATGATCTAACAACGACAACATTTTCAATAGAAAAACGGTTCAAAAACGACAATGTTTCCTTGAAAAGGGGAATATCTACAAACGACCGCTTCTTATCGGGAGGACATTTAAAAACGAATACATTTTAGGAAAAACAATTTTCAAGACGACAAAATGTTGACAGATGACGATCATTAAAAATGACAGCATCTTGAAATAACGATATCATATATACACAAATTCCTGCAAAACGAAAATGTATATGAAAACGACAAAAAAACATTAAGCCAATAATGTTTTTATAATGACATTATTGAAAACTAGATTATTCGTCTTCTCAAAAAAAAAAAAAAAAAACAGATTATTCGACGAGCGACAATGTGATAAAAAAAAAGATAGTATTCTTAAGACGCTAACTTCTTGTAAACGACACTGTTCTTTGAAAGAACAATAGTCATTTAAAACAACAATTTTTGGGGAACGACAATATCTCAAGAACCTCTCTTATAGAAACGCCAACATCTCGTAATCGACACCAATTTGAAACGACAATGCCTGGAAAGTGATAAATATATCGAGAACCTCTGTATAAAAACACCGACATCTAGTATGCGTCAGAGGTTTATTTCATTAATTCGAGTTTTACTACAGTAAAAACTCTTACAAACAGTCACATCTAAATTCGAATTAAAAACTCAAATCAGCAAACTAAACGTGCCCTTTATTAAACAAACAAAAACTAACGACACCATTTCTAAAACAACATCGTCCGAAAAACGACAATATATTGTAAACGTCAGCTTATAGAAAACAATAACATTAAAATACACAAGATGACGAGAAAAATAAAAATATGTGGTATATACATATGTGTACGTCTGCAGCAACGACACATTTAAAATACAAAGCCGCATATGCTTTTGGGAAAACGACCGGCTTTTTGAAAACGATAGCCGTGTTTGAAATTGATTATGTTTTTATTTTTTATATTTAAAAAAAAAAAAAAAAACGTTTTTAAAATGGTGTTTGGCACAATAAAGACAAAAAATATAAATAAAAATGATTTTTTTGATTTAGTGTAAAATAAGAGAAAAATAAAAAATAACTTTTAGTCGTTTTTTTATTTTTTTGTTTTCGTTTTCTCCTCTTTCGAGCATAGAGACATTAATGAATTTTTTTACACTGAAAATAATTTCTTAATAAAATTACTAAACACATTTTTAAAAATAATTTTTATATGAGATTAAAAACATTTTTATTTTCATTTTTATATAAAAAATAAAATCATTTTACAACGAGTTTCAACTACGTCACTAAATTCACCTATTTATTATTATCGTTATCATTATTATAGAGCACCACTGATACACACATTCCTTACATTATTTTTCGCCAATAACAACTTCATCCACTTTTTAACGTGGTCCGGTGGGGCCCTTTGATGAATGATGCATCTCGATCATGGAATTCATCAAATGTATTCTTTTAATCTTGTAATTGAAAGTAATTTAAAGCTCTGAAACCCATAAAAAGGAAATACATCAATTTGGAAACTTCCCCCAATGTTGTTCAATTCATTTCTCATTAATTCATTCAAACTTGAACTGCGTTTACTTTGTAGTTGACAATCGCCAATTGATCCAATACGAAATCATAATAAACAGGCACAACATCATTGGCCCACCCCATTAAATTATTCTGCTCTCAACCATTTCATTGGCCGTTCAAATATATTATCACTCCCACTCAACGTGACCACAATACCTCTTTTTATTCTCAAATCATTATTTTTAAATTTCTAAAAAAGAACATGATTTTCCTTACGCAACCCATCTTTGTGTTTTCACTCTTTTTTAATTAATTTTGTCTTTTTTTTTTTATAAAGCCTTTTGCAGAAAATTCCGTGGTAGGAAGAGGAACAAAAAAATGATTAAGTAATGTTTGTAATCTGTAAAATCTGTTCATTACTTAAATATTTGTAACACCGCATTAGAAAATATTCCAAGATTTTTATGTAATTTTCCCTTACAAAAAAAATCCTTCCTAAACAATCAAACACCAAAACCCGTGAAATAAAAACTTTACTTCCATACTACTAAAATTTGTCTTTATATCAGTTTTCTCATTTTTTTTCTTTTTTCTTTTTTAGAAAAACAAAAGGGAAAGCCCAAAAAGCCAAACTGACACCAATTTTCCCGCGAATCTTTGCTGTTTGTTGAATAGCCAATGGCCAAAGCGTTTTTCTTTTCTGCCCATTTTAGTTCATTTTTCTTTGCGACGCACTTTCGGCATAGTTGTCGTTTTCTCTCATCCTACATCTGCAACCGACTTTTTGGCAGTGTCGGCCTTTATTTCAATTCCCGACTTTTAATTTTCAATTATTTCTTTAATACCAAAAAAAATCAAAATCAAAATAAAAATATGAAAACTACGTGCACATATGGTTGGAAAGCTTCAACCTTTCTGTTGGGCCTATTTCTTTTTTCTCTTTTCTGAAAAACTCATTTGATTCGATCACAGAAAAACAATCTTGGCTTATTTTTTTTACAACAGTTCGGAAAATGGGTCTTTCTGATTCCAAGCTTTGCCTCTAAATATTGAGTTTTCTCTTGCGTTTTTCACATGAACAGGTTTGGCTTCTCATTTTTCTCAAGTGTTTTTTTTTCTTTATTTGTGATTCAGTTTTTGGTGTTTTTGGTCAATTATTGAGGATATTAATGATGTGTACGATGATTGAGTTTGTGTTTTATTTGTTATTTTGCTCCTTTTTATTTTTTTTTTCTGTCAGCTTCTAAATTTGGAAGCTAGCGTCTTGATGGCTAGTGATCTTATTAGACTATGAGATCATAATTTTAATCCCAGTTTTTAATTTCTCGATTGTGTGTTTAAGTTTTTTGGTTTATTCTCTTGTGGGTATTTGTTAGATTGATCTTTGAGAGAAATTCTTCATTTTTTTTTTTTTTTTGGGCTATAATTTGATACTCTCCGGTTATTGATCTTATGAAGATCTGATTCACTAAGTCTCCGATTTATTAGGATATACTTTCCATAGCTTTTAACAGGTTTTTGTGCTTTTGGTGTTTGTGAACATAGACTTTTGACTGTTTCTTTTCTTGACACTGGATTTGATAATCTCTACCATGTTTAAACTTTATGATATAAGCTATTATCTGATGTTACTCTGGACATTTCCTTAGTTGTTCTGAATTTCTATGTTTGTCTACTTTTTGCTGCAGTGTCGCATTTCACCTCAGATTATTGATTTTTTACTGGGAAGACTGGACTTTATATTGCCTCAAGGAATCAATTTATTCCACTACCAATAAAAAGCAATCAATTTCTTCTGAAGTAACTTAATTTCCTCAGACATGGCTGCCATGGGGACTTCATCTGCTGCTAAGTCACATAACACATCCCGTGGTTGGTTCGCCTCTTTGGTTTCAGCTCTTCTGGAATGGCTGCTAATCTTTTTTCTGTTCTTCGACGCCGTGTTTTCGTATGTGATTACGAGGTTTGCTCGTGGCTGTAAATTGCAAACACCATGCCTGCTATGCTCAAGACTTGATCATGTTTTAGGAAAAGAGAAAGTAGGATACTATTGGGACTTGATGTGCAAGAATCACAAGTCGGAAATTTCTTCCTTGGTTCTTTGCCATGCTCACAATAAGCTTGTAGATGTACATAAGATGTGTGAAAGTTGCCTCTTCTCATTTGCAACTATAAATAAGTCTAATGCTGAAACATACAGATTGTTAGTGGGTAAACTGGGTGAGGAAGTTAACTCTGATTTTGATGAAGATGCTTTACTTGGTGATAGTAAGATCAGTTCTTTGAGCAAAAGGTATTGTGCTTGTTGCAATCAGCCATGGGTTCCAAGAGCCCATGCTCAGAAACTGATTCAGACAAGATTAGTTGGTTCAGACGCCGCTGAACTTGAGACGCCCCTTTCGGGTGCCATTGAACATAATCAGGAGGAGGTCATGAAGAAAGGAAGAGAAAGATCATTTGTGTCAGCTGCTGCTACTCATTCTAAAACCCGCGGGCTTGACCCTCTATCTCACATTGGATATACAGAGCTGAAGATTAGTTCTGATACTGAATCTGAAGCTCCGCTGTCTGATGATGATGGTGGTGGTGTGAGTGCTTTGGTTCGCGAAAGGAATGACTACGAGGAAGAGTATTCTGTTCAATATGTTGAGCCTCGAATTGTAACTCTAGATGATGCTTTGGCCTCAGAGAAACTGCTAGATCCAGCATCTGGGCCGAAACCTTCCTTTTTGGAGCCACATGTGCAAGTAGATGCTCTTGAGCATCTTGATCATAAGCCTGAGGAATCCACTGTTGCTTCTGGGAAATCCGAGGAAGAGTTTTCTGTTGAACAAGTTCACCTCCGTACTGTAACTCTAGATGATGTTTCGGCCTCAGAGAAACGGCTAGATCCGGCTTCTGGGCTGAAACCTTCCCTTTTGGAGTCACATGTGCAAGTAGATGACATTGAGCCTCTTGATTGTAAACCTCAAGAATCTACCGTTGGTGTTGGGCATGGATTGGAGGAACTTAACTGGCAAGGTGTTGAAAAAAAGGCAGACATCCCCAGGCAAGAAGTTGGAGACAAGGCCGATATCGCCGAGCTAACGGAAACCACTCTTCGTGATACTCCATCGTCAGATGCAACAGAAACCCCTCTTGAAGTATCAAAAAACTGCCGTGAGTTTAAACTTTTTCTTCTTAATTTGTTTTATATGTCTTTCCTATTTATCTGTTTGGAAAGTTCTCAAAACAAAACTGCCAAAAACTGCTTTGAGTTCAAACTTTTTCTTTTTAATTTATTTTATGGCGTTCCTATTTTTCTGTTTGGAAATTCTTCATTTCAGAAAGTGCTGCTTACTTTTCAAGTTACAAACATACTACCAAACTTGTGAACTTTAGATATTAAAGTTAGATTGCATGAAAACATTCTGCTTAAAGCACCTTGTTGTTCTCCATAGTTGATTAACTATTGTCTCATGTATGTGATGATTTCTCTCAGTAGATGTTAGGACTGTTGAAGTTACGCAAACATCGTCAGCGGAATGTGGAGAAGTTTCTAAGGGAGAATCTTTGCCACGCACAACAACTGAAACAGGTTTAGAGACAAACACTATTGCAAGCGATAGTGGACAGCAGGTAATCAATTTATTGGATCTTGGAGATGCTTATAAACTAGCTGTTGATAATAAAGGAAGACAGTTATCCGGTGTGCTTGCTGAACAATGGCTTGGGAAGGATTCTTCAAGAGTTAGTGAGGATTTGAGAATCTTACTTACACAATTGTCTGCCAATCGAGGATTTGACCAATCAATTAATGACATTAGTCCGAAATTGTCTGTAAATAGTGATGATTCAAAGACTTTGGATTGTTCTAGTTCTATCGGAAGGCAGATACTTCACAAAAGGATTTCGCTTGAAAGAAACGAGTCCGGACTGTCTATGGATGGAAGCATTGTCAGTGAAATCGAGGGTGAGAGTATGGTGGATCGGTTAAAACGACAGGTTGAGCATGATAAGAAACTTATGAATGCTTTGTATAGGGAGTTGGAGGAAGAAAGAAATGCTTCAGCCGTTGCTACAAATCAAGCAATGGCCATGATAACAAGACTGCAGGAGGAGAAGGCGGCGCTTCAAATGGAAGCACTCCAGTATCTTCGGATGATGGAAGAGCAAGCCGAGTATGATGATGATGAGCTGCAAAAGTCAAATGACCTACTCTCCGAGAAGGAGAAGGAGATACAAGATCTAGAAGCGGAGCTTGAATATTATAGGAAGAAGTTTCCGAATGAGCGAGTGTTAGAGAATCCATCTGAGACAAGTTGTGATGTGAAGATAACAGATATTGGAGTGGACAACTCCGAATATAGTTGTATTAGAGATAATGCAAGTGTTTCTACACACCCCATTTCAGGAAAACCTCATGACAATGACAAAGTTGAAAGTGCTGGCTTGTCCTTTGAAAATGTGGATAGGGGTAACGTGAATTCTTCAGTGCTAGAATTTGAAGATGAAAAGACATATATCTTGCAATGTTTAAAGAAGTTGGAGAAGACACTTTATCTTCTTTCTGATGATGAAAAAAATACATACTTGTCTAAAAATGATTATTCTGAAAATAGAACAGATGAGTTTAGTGAGTTGGAAGAGCTAACGAAACATGATGAATCGGTATCTGGGCAGGATTTATATAATTCCTCACTTGAGAATCCTGAGCTAAATGGAAGGGAAACCGATGAATTCCATTGCAGGAAGCAAAGTTCAGCAGAGTTATCGCAAGTGACTGATATGGCTTCACTCAGAGTCGTGGTTTCGGATCTGAATAAGAGGTTGGAGGCACTCGAGGCGGACAGGAAGTTTCTTGAACATGCAGTAAACTCGCTTAGAAATGGCGATGAAGGGCTTCATTTCATTCAGGAGATAACTTCTCACCTGCAAGAATTACGAAAGATTGTTTTGAGAAAAGATCAAAGTGTGGCTTGAGCTGTTGGAAGCTTCATATCAAAGTGAGTTCTTTTTCTTTTTCTGTTTTTTTGTCAAGAGAATTGTGCCATTGTAAAAGAAACACGCCATATTGATGACATCTTGGCATTTTTTCTGATTGTTCATACATCAATGCTTACCATTTATGCTTTTGAAACGAGTGTTCTGTTATTAGTATTTTAACTCTAAATCTCTGAAGATGTTTCAAGACTTGTTGAAATACAAGCTGTTTTCTCATTTACAATTATGGCTAAAGTTTTGCTGAACAACAATTGAAACTCGCATGTTCTTGGTGGAGTTATCATTTTGTTTCTGCTCTCATGGTTTAATAACGTTTTTCATTGCTTTTCTAATGCATCAGATGGATGTTGGGTAGGACATCGTCAACTTTCGGAGACAAAACAGTTGGAAAACAGACGGACGACACAACTTTAAATGTACAGCATCACTATCTTGATTCTTGTTTTCTCATAAGCCAAAGGGTGTCATTAAAGGACTTTACCTTACCTTAAAAAAAAAAAAAAAAATTATTTAGAAGAAAATCTTCTTTATTCCCCGCCTTTTATGGGGTGTGTTTAACAATTGGAGTGTTTTGCATTTTACTCAATTACAATAGAGTTTTGGTGAGGATCCTTTTTCTTTTTGATTGTTGTTTGAGGTTGTTTCAAGATGTAAGGGCTTGAGTTTGCTTACTTCGTGTAATCTTTCTTTCTTTCTTTTTTCTTTTTTTTTTCTTTTTTTTTTTCTCTAGAGTGGATAAGTCATTTGATTGTACGAGGGTGATTAATTATTTTGTGCAGAATGTATTATTTTTCTTTTTTATTGTTGACAATAATTATGTCGAGTAACAAGTTGATATCGTTGATTTTTTTTGAATTTTTTTTTTTAAGTTGTGATCTCTAGTCAGATGCCCAAATATTTGATGCATGAGTTGTTTTTAATGAATTGAGTCAATACGAAATCGAATCCGCACTCTTCTCCTGTAGTCTCACACCCACCCAGATCTCCTACTCCAAGTCCAATCATATTATGGATCCGTTTAGTTCGTTAATTCGAGTTGAGATGTGATTTTATGTGAAAATTTTTTACTGTAGTAAAAAATTTAAATATGACTATTTCTAAGAACTTTTTACTATAACAAAACTCGAATTTTAAATTCAAATCGGTAAAATAAACGGGGCCTAAACAGTTTAATGCAGGTAGTAAACACTGTAGCATGAAAGTTATCTTCAATGTTGATAAAACACTAAAAAATTAGAACATATTTATATCGTTATTATTCTTGTAGTTTTCGAGTTTTTATGCACACGCAATTTTTTTATTTTTTAAAATTTAACCTATTATATGAGACTATTATATAAGTTTTCAAAATTTATCATTTATTTTTTGACTTTATAAATGATTCTAAGCAAATAAAGACCGTGTTTAAAATTGATTTCATTTTTATTTTTTACGTTTTTTGAGAAAGAAAAAATAAAAATATTTTTAAAACGGCGTTTGGCGCAATAAAAATAAAAAACAGAAATAAAAATACTTTTTTAGTTTAGTGTAAAATGAGAGAGAATTTTTCATTTTTTGTTTTCATTTTCTCCTCTCTCTCTCGAGCAGAGAGAGATAGAAAGAGAGACATTAATGAATTTTTTTTACATTGAAAATAATCTCTTAATAAAACTACTAAACGCAGTTTTAAAAATGATTTCTGTCTGAGATTAAAAATATTTTTATTTTCATACAAAAAATAAAATCATTTTAGAATGAGTTTCAAACACATCTACGAGAATAGATAAACGCAATAAAGGCGGATACTTCAGTGCTTATTATTATATTTTTAAAACAAAAAAATACGTAATGATTTTTATTTGTAAAAAAAGTTTTGAAATATACTTAGGCCCCGTTCATTTCACCGATTTAAGTTTAGAATTCGAGTTTTGTTACAGTAAAAAGCTCTCAGAATTAGTCACATCTAACTTTTTTGCTACAGTAAAAAGCTCTTACATAAAGTTACATCTTAACTTTAATTAAAAACTTAAATAAACGAACTAAACGGTCCATACTTTACGGTGAAATTCACCCGTGGAACTTTATTTTTTTATCATTAAATTATTTTTTTTAACGGTGAAATCTATAACAAAAACAATTGTGTGTTGCATGATTGACATTTTAATTCCACCGTCTCATATTTTATCTAAATAATAATATATTATATTAATAAAGTCAATTCATCAAATAATAAAAATAAAAAATAACAAAGGAGTTGCATAATAATAATAAAAAAAAAAGTGACCTAAAATTTCTCAAATATTTAAAAACACCACACACTAGGCCTAAATTTTCCTCCCTTACCCTCCCCTATTCTCTCTCTCTCTCTCTCTCTCTTCGGCTTCGCCTCGCTCAAGCGTTTCTTTTTCTGTGCTTTTTCAAGATTCAACGAATACCCACGCCAAGAGAAGAGCCACCAGTTCCTCCGTATTCCAAGAATTCGTAAGCACTTAATAAGACAATATTGACAACCTTAAAATTATGTTAAAAACTATTTGCAGTTTGACAGTTTGAGTGATGATGCAGGGATGTAACTATTTTTCTTTCCCGTGTATTTCTTTATTCAACTTTCATCTCGTGATTCATAAAGGGACTAGGACAAACTTGTTTGGAGAGATTTTGCAATTTTATTTTAAAATGATAAGAAGCTTGTATTTTCTTTCTTTTCTTACTTTTTAGTATTGAGAAGCAAAACATCAATTTTCCATCAAAAAGTTTTTTTTCTCTCTTTTCCCTCAACATTAGAAGGTTCATTCAAAGTCTTGGCATATATTTTCTAGTTTTAGTATTGAGAAGCAAAACATCAATTTTCCATCAAAAAGTTTTTTTTTCTCTCTTTTCCCTCAACATTAGAAGGTTCATTCAAAGTCTTGGCATATATTTTCTGATTTTTGGTTTGTCCCGTAATTTAGGGCAGATTTTGCTTAAATTCCCGTAATATTACTTTCTTTAACCATCAGAAGAAGGAAACCCTACGTATAAAAGCCTTCTTTTCATCTCTCTCAAACAGCGCCTCCTTTCTCCTCTCTCCTTCTCCGTTTACTCTAGCAATCTTTTTTTTTTTTTCTCTTAAAACTGAAACCCTTGTAGTGTTTTTGCAGTCAAACTTCCATCTTTTCTTTCTCTCTCAAATCTCTCTATTGTTTTTCCTTATCCCTTTCTGAAAACTTGAAGAGAGAAAACTTGAAGTCGACGAGACCAGACGACGGCGGTTCTGGTTCTGGTCCTGGTTGTGTTTGTGTAAACAACGAACGAAATGCTTCACCGGAGCTCATTTCGCGACTCTCTTTTCGCTTCGGATTTCGTGCTTAACTTCAACAACTTTAGGCCTCGTTGTTTCTCTTCTTCCACAACAACCGCAATAGCTTTTCACATGGAACAACAACAACAGGAGCAGAAACTATTCGCTTCTTCTTCTTCTTCTTTACTGGCGTTAAAGCAGAATCACCAAAATCCGAGACCAGTTTGTTTACCTTGCCGAGCCTTGCCCGATTCTCACGAGACGTCTCTCAGGTGACCTCGCTTTCTACTAATGTTTGCGTTTTTAGTGAAGTTTTTGAGATACAGAATGACTATTTCTTCCATAGCTTCATTTTTAAATACAGTTTCGTGGGAATTGAATAAGGTAATTTAGATTACCATTAGTCTTGTTCTGGTTTAACTATGGAGAAGCAAAATGTAGTGATTTTAGTGGAAAACAATTCACTCAGGTGACCGGTTTGTACTAAGTTTGCGTTTTTAGTAAATTTTTTGCAATGCAGAATCGCAGCTTTTGACTCTTTCTTTTATAGCTTCAATTTTAAGTACATTGTCGTGGAAATTGAATACGTTAATCTATATATAATTGGTGTTGTTCGTTAATGTATATATTATTGGTCTTGCTCTGGTTTTAGTGTTTATTCGCAAGTGGACAAGCAAGAACTTTTTTTTTTTTTAAGTCCTACTTTGGTTAACTTTTATCCACGACAGAAGCAAATTATAAGGATAAACTATTATCTGGTAGTAGATCAAAATTCAAACCCAGAATGTCGAATGTGCATGTAGGAAAGATGAGATACCTGTCCATGGATTGTTTGAAACCATTGTTGGTGTTCTTGGAGGAGGTCAACTTGGTCGAATGCTATGCCAAGCTGCCTCACAAATGGCTATCAAAGTCGTGGTTTTGGACCCCCAAGAGAATTGCCCTGCAAGCGCCCTTGCCTATCATCATATGGTTGGAAGTTTTGATGACAGCGCTACAGTTGAAGAATTTGCCAAGAGGTTCAACTTTTTTTGAAAAACAACTGGGTTTCGGTTATTTTTGCAGAAATTTTCTTGCCAGTTTCACGTTTTAAGTTTGTATGCTAATCTTTTTTTGGTTGTTATATAGTTGTGGGGTGTTGACTGTTGAAACTGAACATGTGGATGTTGCGACATTGGAGAAACTTGAGCAACAAGGAGTAGATTGCGAACCGAAAGCCTCTACAATTCGAATAATCCAGGTTTGTATTGCCTTTTTTTAAAATTTGATCTTAGCCTTCTCGCAACAATTTGGAAACGTTAAGAATAAGCCATCTGAAATGATTTACAATGCTTGAGATTCAAACTCTTTTCTGTGCTTAATGTGTTAGAAGTACTTTTTTCTTGTGTTTTTCTGGGACTCCTTGTCCTTCTTTTCTTGTTCATTTTCTCCATTGATTCATGAATGAAAGCTGTGTTGTTTCTTATTAAGAAAATAAAATAAAAGAAAAGAAAAGACATACAGTAATTAATCCTTGGTTAAGATATAAGATTTTTTTTCTCTCGCCCCATGATCAAATCTAGCTTCCGTTTTACACATTCTCCAGGATAAGCATCTCCAAAAGGTTCATTTTTCTCGGCATGGCATTCCACTTCCCGAGTTTATGCAGGTTGTTAACTCTTGATGAATTTGTATGAAAGATTACAACTAATGTTTTTGCATTTTATAACAGTCATTATAACAATTTTTCATTATAAAATATGGCAAAGTTAGATAGATGGTCTTGAAGGTGCCAAGAGAGCAGGGCAACTATTTGGCTATCCTCTAATGATAAAGACTAAAAGGTTAGCTTATGATGGGCGTGGAAATGCTGTTGCGAAAAGTGAGGATGAGCTTTCTACTGCTGTTGCTGGTAACGTGTTTTGTTCATTCAAAATATCACTTACTATTGTTTGGTGTGTGGTTCTGGTTCTTTATTAGCTAGCTTATCGATCCCAATGGCAATATTATTTACGAATATTCCTAGAGCATTGTAAAACCATGCTTGCCAGTTTCCCCTACACAATAGAATAAACAAAAGAATGTTGATTTGTGATGAGTCTCCTATGATTGCTCTCACCCATATTGTCCCTGTAGTTATTTCATGCTTTCTTTTCATTTGATTGATAGAATTTATAACTTGCATTTACTTTCAAGATTTTCAATTTTGCAGCTCTTGGAGGGTTTGAACGTGGTTTATATGTGGAGAAATGGGCCCCTTTTGTGAAGGTTCACTTCTACATTCTGTCAACAAATGCTATAATGGACTATCTAAGCACTATATAAATTTACTTTTTGGATATTGCTAATAGAGTTCCTACCACTGAGTTTAATGTTACCCTAGGAGCTGGCTGTCATTGTGGCAAGAGGAAGAGACGGTTCTCTCTTATGTTATCCAGTTGTTGAAACTATTCACAGGTAAGATACAGATTCAGCATTGGGATATCTTTCAATAACCAGTTATTCTTCCTGTAGAGTTCTGTTCTAAATTAATTCAAATTTTGTGAATATATTCAACCAATGTTACCGATCTCTGACTTGTACTGAATCAACTCACTAATAACTGGGGAGTTTTTCCTTCTAGGGAAAATATTTGTCATATAGTCAAGGCACCTGCAAATGTCTCATGGAAGACTAGAAAGCTGGCCACTGAGGTTGCCTATAAAGCTGTTAGTTCATTAGAAGGTGCTGGTGTGTTTGCAGTTGAGTTATTCTTGGCAGAGGATGGCCAGGTAGTAAGTCAACTTCAATCACCAAATCCTGCTGAGTGTCTATTCTTTAGTGATTAAGTTTTGGGTTTGTTTCCCTTGCAATCTTCTGCTTTTACTTATTTTATGCTTATAACTTCTCATCAGATCCTACTGAATGAAGTAGCTCCTAGACCTCATAATAGTGGTCACCACACAATAGAGTCCTGCTACACCTCACAGTTTGAACAACATTTGAGGGCTGTTGTGGGTCTTCCACTTGGTAATCCATCAATGAAAACTCCTGCTGCAATCATGTATAATTTACTTGGCGAAGATGAGGGAGATCGAGGTTTCCTCTTAGCTCATCAACTTATTGGACGGGCATTGGGTATTCCTGGGGCTACTGTTCATTGGTATGATAAGTCAGGTAAGTTACTGCTCATGTTATGGTTTTTGATGTCTGGTTTCTAATTCATACTCAATGCTTTCCTTTGTCATCATAATGATATGGCAGAAATGCGAAAGCAACGAAAGATGGGTCATATCACCATTGTCGGTCCTTCTATGAGTGATGTGGAGAAACCTTTGGATTCAATGCTGAGCGCAGAAAGATTTGATAGTCAGTCTGCAGGTTAGTTTTTATTGGGGGCTTTGTAATTTACCATGCTGTCTTGAAAGTGAAGCTGCTTGGAGATGCTCACACTTTTCCTTTGTTATGCCCGGTGCAAATTTCTTGAAAAGTGTGACTTTGAAATTGTATTGAGCTTAACAATCTTTTAGCAATTTGTATTGGGCTTAGATGTGACCTTGAAATTGTAATTACGAAACTGTCATTTGCATTCATTTTGTTTCTTATTTGCTAAATGTAGTGACACCACGTGTTGGGATCATAATGGGCTCGGATTCAGATCTCCCTGTGATGAAGGAAGCTGCAAAGATTTTGAGTATGTTTGACGTGCCTCATGAGGTTAGCTCCCTTTTTTTTTTTCTCCAACTTGGGGATCATCTGCTGTCATACCTTATGCGTTTTAAACTCTACATAAGATTCCTTTTATTATAAATTTCAGGTGCGAATAGTTTCAGCACACCGGACTCCTGAGTTGATGTTTTCTTATGCCTCATCTGCTCAGGATCGAGGTATTCAGGTCATCATTGCTGGTGCTGGTGGTGCAGCCCATTTACCAGGCTAGTTACATAAAATCTCTCCATATGCATTATGACGTTTTTTTTTTTTTTTTTTTTTCCATTTTAACATTATTCCAGTTCTGGATGTGAATTTTAGGTATGGTAGCTGCGCTTACTCCTTTGCCAGTAATTGGTGTTCCTGTACGTGCTTCTACATTGGACGGAATCGATTCACTCCTATCAATTGTGCAGGTAACATTGCACAAATCCAGTTGCCTGCATCTTATTGCCTAGAAGCTGCACATTCCCATTTACTAGAATGTTTTTATTATCCCTCTTCTCTATCTTTTCTTGTCCGTGAAATGGATATTTGTGTGCCATATTTTGCCAAATCATGACTGCATGACAGTAGCGTCTGATTTTGTAGTCTCTGTATCAATGTCACGCTTTTCAATGTCTCTGGTGTTTCCAGCAAAATAGCTTAAATGTCTTGCATTAATTCTGCAGATGCCAAGGGGCGTCCCAGTTGCAACAGTTGCTGTAAACAATGCCACAAACGCAGGTTTGCTGGCTGTAAGGATGTTGGGTGTCGGTGACAGCGATCTAGTAGCAAGGTTATATTCTCCATTTGGTTAAACAAAACATAATTTTTTTTAGAGCAATGAAAAGTCATTAAATTTGATTGCTTATGTTATTGATGCGGTGATAAACTTTGTGCAGAATGAGTCAATACCAAGAAGACACAAGGAGCGATGTCTTGTTAAAGGCAGATAAGCTAGAAAAAGATGGCTGGGAATCTTATTTAAATCCTTGAGAACCATATAATTTCTTTTGGTGATATCTATTCATTTTTGTCATTCAACAAATTATATTATGGTCAACTTGATCAAAGGTTTTAGAGAAAACCCCATTGCCAGACAAGTTCAGCAAGTGAATAAAGACTCAGACAATAAACAAAAAAGATTAGAACGAGAAGTAGAAAAAGGAGAAAGGGAATCATCAAGATTGTTAGTGTTAAAAATATTTGCAGTTTGACAGTTTGAGTGATGATGCAGGGATGTAACTATTTTTCTTTCCCATGTATTTCTTTATTCAACTGTCATCTTGTGATTCATAAAGGAACTAGGGCAAACTTGTTTGGAGAGATTTTGCAATTTTTTTTTTTTAATTGATAAGAAGCTTGTATTTTCTTTTCTTGCTTCCTAGTCTTGAGAAGCAAAACGTCAATTTTCCGTCAAAAAGATGAAAAGAACTTATATTGTTTCCCATTATCAGTTGCTATTTACCACAAAGTCAGGCCAACCTTATCCTCTAATTGATGCGGGGGACCGACCTCTATGAATGATTTTATCCAAGCTTTGGCTTAGATAATATTTTCTTTACAAGTTACTTTCTTTTTTCCCTCAACATTAGAAGGTTCATTCAAAGTCTTGGTATATATTTTCTGATTTTCACATAGAATATGAGCCATTATATGAAGATCCATCGTAAGAAATTACCAACAACAACAGGATAGAAAAAGGGTCGGTGACAGTTGATCCAAAATGTTAGTCAATTCAACGCAACACAAAACGCAACTTTTACCAAATCCAAACTCGAGCTAACAGCTGGAATTTCAGCTTCCACAGGAGCAGAATTTGATGGTCTTGAATTATCTGAACGGGTCTTATGGGTTGCTTCCGCTTTTATCACGAGTAGCCCATGATAATACTGGATTCTCTTTAACCCACAGTTTTTTTTTTTTTTTTTAAAGTAAAATTATTAGAGAATCTTTATGGCAAAGAAGACTTTCGCTATACTGGTATGGACTGTTATTTTTAACTGTTAAATTAATTTTTTAACGATTAAATATGTGTATTAAAAATTTGCGGTGCTCGATACGAAATTGTTCCTACTGCTAATCAGACCATTGATTCGAACGGTTAAAATGCAATGCATACTGGGGAGCAAAAGAGTCTTTTCCATCATAAATGCAACCAAATTATTATTATTATTAGAATTTAGAAATGGTTACCGCCCATTTTATCCATAGAGATTGAGAATTAGAATGGTGTGAGAATTTGAGATAGGTTCATGGTACTAAAGCATCATCCCAGCATACGGCCAAGCAAGTGACAGAGTCAGGGGTACGTGATATTGTCATGCAAGTCGTCCTATTTTGGGGACAAGGGAAAAGGGGATGAAAATAACACCAACGTTTTCCTTTCTGTTCTTTTCTTTTTTTTTTTTTTTTTTTTTTTTTTTTTTTTTTTTTTTTTTTTTTTTTTTTTGTAAACATAGAAATGAATCACAAAAAGACAATGGCTATAAATAAATAGAAAGAAATTAGTATTTTTGCAAAGAACGTTCCTTTGAGTCTTAAAGCGTAATGCAATCTTCAATTACTCAACAAAATTTAGATCTTGACTGATAAGAGGGATTGTGAAGACTTGGTCTGGTCAGTTAGCTGGCCTTTTTGCGTTGATTAAGAGATGATATTGAAGATCCATCGTAAGAAATTACCAACAACAACAGGATAGAAAAAGGGTCGGTGACAGTTGATCCAAAATGTTAGTCAATTCAACGCAACACAAAACGCAACTTTTACCAAATCCAAACTCGAGCTAACAGCTGGAATTTCAGCTTCCACAGGAGCAGAATTTGATGGTCTTGAATTATCTGAACGGGTCTTATGGGTTGCTTCCGCTTTTATCACGAGTAGCCCATGATAATACTGGATTCTCTTTAACCCACAGTTTTTTTTTTTTTTTTTAAAGTAAAATTATTAGAGAATCTTTATGGCAAAGAAGACTTTCGCTATACTGGTATGGACTGTTATTTTTAACTGTTAAATTAATTTTTTAACGATTAAATATGTGTATTAAAAATTTGCGGTGCTCGATACGAAATTGTTCCTACTGCTAATCAGACCATTGATTCGAACGGTTAAAATGCAATGCATACTGGGGAGCAAAAGAGTCTTTTCCATCATAAATGCAACCAAATTATTATTATTATTAGAATTTAGAAATGGTTACCGCCCATTTTATCCATAGAGATTGAGAATTAGAATGGTGTGAGAATTTGAGATAGGTTCATGGTACTAAAGCATCATCCCAGCATACGGCCAAGCAAGTGACAGAGTCAGGGGTACGTGATATTGTCATGCAAGTCGTCCTATTTTGGGGACAAGGGAAAAGGGGATGAAAATAACACCAACGTTTTCCTTTCTGTTCTTTTCTTTTTTTTTTTTTTTTTTTTTTTTTTTTTTTTTTTTTTTTTTTTTTTTTTTTTTTTTTTGTAAACATAGAAATGAATCACAAAAAGACAATGGCTATAAATAAATAGAAAGAAATTAGTATTTTTGCAAAGAACGTTCCTTTGAGTCTTAAAGCGTAATGCAATCTTCAATTACTCAACAAAATTTAGATCTTGACTGATAAGAGGGATTGTGAAGACTTGGTCTGGTCAGTTAGCTGGCCTTTTTGCGTTGATTAAGAGATGATATATATATATATATTTTTTGAATTAATTAAGAGATGGGTTTCACCAATGATAATATGTTACTTTATAATAAAATTAGTCCTCATCTTTCTTACTATCGTTGTGCCTGATTAACTCTTTAGTCGTTGTGTATATAATTTCGGCCATGTCCTTAATTATCATAGCATTAACAACCAATTAAGTCGAATGCACATATAATTAGGAAAGTCTAATTTTGCACACCCAAGTTCAAAGCAGGGGCCATACACTTATCCAATTTATATTCATGTCACGTGCCAAGCAATAGATATGAGTTTGAGGATGTCACACAAAATATGGAAACTTCATAACATATGGACCATTTCAACTTTGTCTTATTGCATAACTATAGAACTTGGTTGGAGTTCTTATAAGGTTCCGTGTCTTTGATTTTGACTATCTCTTTTTCAAAACATCAAACGCGCCTCCAATCTATAAATTACATAACTAATTAAGTTCATTGCATATTTTTTCAGCAAAAAAAAAAAATACAATCACTAAGTTCATATATATATGAGCAAACCCCAACTCCTCCAAAGCCACACAAACATTTATCATTAGAACTTTATGGCCCTACTCTTCTAAAAAATCATTTGATATCTATACCCAAAAAAAGTACTCAACACTTACCTATATACTACCAACCTTTTATTAGTTTCTTCAATATCACACAAATGGGGTGTCACAAAAACATGTGCTACTCAATCTTATTCGTTTGCGCAATTGTTTTGGCATTTGGGTTTAGGGAAACTTTGGCAATAAGGCCCTTGGAATTAGGAGAGAAATTGGTGACAAACTCTCCGTCGTTTCAGTCACTCCCAAAGGGAGGGGACAAACCACCAAGCCCTAATCCATGCACGTTTATCCCTGGACGTAGCCATGGGCGTTGCACTTTGAGCCAAATGAATAATGTTGCTGAGCATCAACCACTACTTCATCATGCGGCAGCCAATCCCGTTGCGACACGTTGGAATCAGTAGCAAGAGCCAAGATCTTGATCATGATGCCATAATTCGAGATGTACTTATACACACACGCACACACAAATATATAGATGGATGGATAGATAGATATAAGAAATTGTCACGCTTTTTTTTTCTGTTCTCTTTTTCACTGTTTAGAGTATTTGCTATCTATTCGTTTTTTTTTATTATTTGTCCTTTGTTTGGAGGGCAACAACATGACAAGAAAAAAAGGTTTGGGTGACATTTGTGAAGCCTCCATAATAAACTTATCTTATGCAATTTATAATTGATATTTAATATGATTATCCGCAAGCATATAGTGGATGAGTCGTGAATAATATCTGATAGAATTCTTATAGCTAGGCCAAACAAATTTCAAAGAAGCAGAATAAATCTGTGCATGACAAGGTGTATCGAGATTCAAATTGCAGGTTTATATAGACGCACACATATATAATGCATATACATATATATATATATATATATAATACAAATGTTCCAAACTGTCCTGGAAAGAAATAAAGAGACAGCATGAAAGTGTACCCTTCTTTAATTATTTTACTTTGGTTATCGTACTCGTGTCATGAGTCATGTGACGTCGTTATTACAACAAATTTGTATGTGGTAGCAATCCATGCACGTTTCATATCCAAACAACCATATGTGTACGTGGTATTATATGTTCCTTGTCTACAGCTAGCAAACCTTTTTGATTTAGTACTACGTAATGAAAGATTTTTGTGTGTATATATATCAAAGGAAACATGGAAGTTCTTGAATTTATCTTTATAGAAACAATGTAGGAAAAATACCAGTACTTATATACATATATATATATATATATATGTGGTTTAAATCCTTCCCTAGACTTTCCCCAAAACTTTTACCCCCTAATCCATAAATTCTCATATTGTTGTTTTGTATCTGAGTTAATCTGTGAATGCGACGTGACAGAGCACTTAATCTCCAATCCAAGCTAAAGAAACCCACTGACCCTGCAGTGGGCTAAGTCATTAATATTTAGGCCCCATGTATACACAACAATGACCCATTCTCTGATTATATCTTTGACAAACACACACACATATATTTCCACTTATCAAAAGGACAGATGAGAGAACAGATCCTAATTTTGACAAAAAAATCAAGGGCCCATTTGGTTCTTACATTTCAACTTATGATTTTAATTTTGTTACGGTCATTTTATCACGAAAAATTTAAATAAAAAACACTTTTACCAATAAGTTCTCTTATAAAATATGAATTCAGAATTAAAATTACTTATTTTGAACACAACGACTAAACGGCCTCAAACTTTTTGGGCAAAGTGTTATCACGCTCTACAAGAGATTCTAAAGTGAGGCAATTTTTGATATGTCATTGACGCTCATGGCCATGGAATTGTGTGTCCCTACGAAGTGTAAAGTATGTGGGACATGTCCCCTCTTGCCAGTCACATGGTTAGTGCAGCAGCAGCACAAAGGGAAAGAAAAAACCAAATTAAGTAGGCACATATATATAATTACAAAGATTGTAAGGCAAAGGGCAAACGCAAAGGGCCATGGCATTGTTACTTGTGGAAGGAATGTGGTGTGACATCTCAAAGCGCAAAGAATACAAACATGTGAATTGTGTCAGAAGATAAAGAGGGGGCTCTTCTTCACCCTCATCAATTGCATTAGCTGTCCATTTTTGACTGCAAAAAACCTAGTCATATCATTTGGCACCCTTTTCAATGGAGCTTCAAATTATATATATATATATATATATACACACACACACACACACACACCAGCTTCTCTCTTCATAATTGTTGGTGTTTCTCTTAACAATGAATGATGAACTAGTTAGTGGATTAATTA